CATTTGATTTGAAGGCATGAGACACGCATGGCGGTTTGGTTTTTTTTTTTTTTTTATTCGATTCCCCAACCATCGACGGAGTTTGGACACAGTGCTAGGCAGATCGGCTGCCTGATGCGCTGCCATGAGAGTAGTGAACGGCGTCTTCTCGAGCTGCGTGCGAAGATGGCAGTAGGGTGGTTGTAAAAGTGGTTTCCCCTAGTCTTGCTTGGATGTATAATGACGGACGCCCCCCCGCCTGTCGATTACTGTACAGCGCATGGCCTTTGATATTTTACGCAGTTATACCCTGACGAAGCGACTAATGTATAAGAGGTCGAATGATTGAATTGACATATTGAAGCATGTCGGAACACTTTCCATGTTAGACCGGGAGTGACTTGTGACGATGTCGTTTGCACTATCTACTTTGTAGATGGAAGCCCCGTCGACGAAGATTGGCACCTAGGAATCATTACGTGCCTAATTCCGGCAGCAGTGGGCAGACAACACAAGAGACCTATAATAGGCGCAGATGCAAAGCAGTAGAAGAATGATTACGGATGCGAAGGAAAACACTGAATTCACTAGTGGTTTAAATCACGTCTCTGCTGAGGGTCGCCAACATGGAATGGAATTCGGGTATGTGAAGCAAGCTGGCAAGGGTCGTGCACCAGGCCAGCTTTTATTGGCTGTTGGGGTCAGCACAGGGACTAGACTACGAGGCTGCGATCTTCTCCGCTACAGCCTTGCGACCCTGTTTGCTCATTCATCCAACAACGACAACTCGCGAAAAAGTGCAGCATTCGTACTCGCCTTTCAAACAAACGCTAGGATCGACCCCGAAATCTCTATGAGAATAACCAATACAAATCCACTAGCTCACACGCACCCCGAAACGACCCAAACATCTCTCCGTCTAGCGATCCCGACCGACGCCACTTATCATGGCCGACTCCGACGGCGAGTACGTCGAGGACATGTCCGATGACGATCTCCACGATCATCGAGTAACCAACGGCAACGGCGCAGGCGGAAAATCCGGGAAAGCGCGTGGCAAGAAAGGCAAGAGTGGGCACTCCAAGGCGCGGTGGGAGGACGTCAAGCGCAGCTGGGAGGAAGTTACAGAGGGCGCCGACGGCAGCCTGGCGGTTGGTGCAAGTCTTGAGGCTGAAAAGAGAAGGAGGTTGCTCAAAGATACGACGCCGCTCCAGCGAGGAATTATTCGGCATTTGGTACTCGTATTGGACATGTCATTCGCCATGACAGAGAAGGATATGCTACCCAATCGCTACCGCGTCACTTGGGCATACGCGGCAGATTTCGTCAAAGAGTACTTCGAGCAGAACCCTATCTCTCAACTTGGAATCATTGGGATGCGAGATGGTGTTGCTCTTAGAATCAGCGACATGAGTGGCAACCCCACCGACCACCTTGAGAAGCTTAAGTCCTTCGAGGGGCAAGACCCATCAGGCAACCCCAGCTTACAGAACGCCCTTGAGATGTGTCGCGGTGCACTTTTGTACGTGCAAACTCCTCCCGCTCTTCTGTTTTGGAACATCCACTGACTGGCTGAATCATAGTCACGCCCCTTCGCATGGCACCCGCGAGGTGCTCGTGGTTTTTGGCGCTCTGCTCTCCTCCGATCCTGCTGACATTCACGAAACGATATCTTCTCTTATAACCGATCGCATCCGCGTCTCTGTCGTCGGTCTTGCCGCGCAGGTTGCCATCTGTGCCGAGCTTTGCAGCCGGACAAACTCTGGTGATGACACTCAGTATAGTGTTTGTATGAACGATGCCCACTTCAGAGATCTACTCCTCGCTGCCACCACCCCGCCCGTCACCCGCACCGCTGCGCAGAGCACTGCATCCTTGCTCATGATGGGTTTTCCATCAAGAACACTCGTTCGGGGTGAAGCCACCGCCATTTGCGCTTGCCACAACAAGCCCGCTCGTGAAGGCTACCTCTGCACTCGTTGCAGCACCCGTGTGTGTCGTCTACCCATCGAATGCCCAGCGTGCGGTCTGACACTAATCTTATCCACCCACCTCGCTCGCTCGTACCATCATCTATTCCCACTTCGAAACTGGGTCGAGGTACCCTGGGCCAAGGCCGGAAGTTCCAAGGCCTGCTACTCCTGTCTCACGGCCTTCCCAGAACCGCCTAGGGCCTCCAAGAAGAGGGACAAGGAAAAAGCGAACGACAATGACGGGGTGACTACAACAGCGCCAATGGCTCCGACCCCAGTGGCACCATCTGAGCTAAAAGGGGTCAGCGAAAGCGGTCGATATGCCTGCACTGTGTGCAACAGCCACTTCTGCATCGACTGCGATGTATACGCTCATGAGGTTATCCATAATTGCCCCGGCTGTCAAAGTGGAACCCGTGGAGCGAGGATGGATGATGTTATTGCGACCAATGGAGTACATGAGTATCAGATAAACGGGACGGCAATGGCTGTCGACGCATGAGAAGGTATCACGATAGTACTTGAGGATTGGCACAGGATACGAGAGAACGGATGAAGGTGCAACGGATACGATCCGGCAAAGATTTAATAATAAGCCTATACCACTTTGCTTAGCTGATGAAGAAATGCCATCACCTCCTTATTTGTGGATTTCAGTCCTAGCGGCTCGAAATAATCCCCTGCCTTGTTGTGCTGCGACAGGCAGGGTGTTCCGCGCCAACGCAGCATGCTTTACAAGTTGCCACGCTCGGCCTGCTCGCGCTCAATTGCTTCGAACAGACTTTTGAAGTTACCGGCGCCGAAGCCCTCAAAGTGGTTGCGCTGAATGATCTCAATGAAGACAGTAGGCCGATCCATCAGCGGCTTGGTGAATAATTGCAATAGGTAGCCCTGCTCGTCGTAGTCGATGAGAATGTTGAGGGCCTCGATGGTGGCCAGGTCCTCTTTGAGCTCCCAGTTACGTTTCTCCGTCTTGAGTCGATGGCGCATGGTATCGTAATATGTGGAAGGAACGGCGATGAACTCTACACCGCGGGCACGCATTGCTGACACGGTTTCGATGATGTTCGGAGTAAGTAGGGCAATGTGTTGCACACCTGGCCCCGAATTGAACACGACGTATTCCTCAATTTGCGATTTCTTCTTGCCGGGAGCCGGCTCGTTGATGGGCATTTTGACGAGGTTGTTGGCTGACGACATTACGATGGAGTTCAAAGCGGAGAATTCTGTGCAAATCTGAGAGTCGTCCACAGACCAGAAGCGGTGGAAGGAAAGGCATTGCTCATAAAAGGCACACGCTGTGACCATTTCATTCCAGGACTGGTTGCTTGCCAACGCAGTGGTCGATGCGGGCCAAGGGGGCCACAGGTAGGGTAATGGAGGAAGTCGATGGCTTTGCGGCGCGGAAGCCAGGAAGGAATGGTCCCTTGTAGTTACCCCTAGAAATAAGGGTGTGGGTGGTATCGCCGTAGGTGCAGATGACGGCCGTCAACACATCGCCATGGTCAGGGTCGGCAAGGACGATAGGGGGCTGGATCGACTGAGCGCCTTCCTGGACAGCTTTGTTGTACACGCCCTCGACGTTGTCGACCGCAAAAGCGACGTCCTTCACGGCGTCGCCATGCTTTTCGAGGTGGGCATGAATCTCACGCAGGAGCTTGCGCTCCGCGTCAGAGATGGGCTCATCCTCGGGCAGGTGGGCGGAAGACCTCACGGGGGATGTGAAGACGAAGCGGACGTCGTTGTTGGCGATGGCGTATGATGAGATGTACCTGCTGCCAGTCTCGAGTCCCTTGTACGCGACGGTCTTGAACCCAAAGAGGTTATTGTAGTAAGAAGCAGCCTGCTTCGCATTGCCCACCCACCAGGTTACGTGGTCGTAGCCCCGGAAGTTGGGCGGCGGATGCTGCACTGCAAGGCCATCGCCGAGGTCAGTCGATGCCGGATAGGCGGCGGTCTGTAGCGGGGAGTCTGTGATTGCAGAAGGGGACATTGACACTCAGCAGTTTTCGGGGGGGAGGAGACCTAATGTCACGAGTGTAAATATGAATGGATGCTGATTCGTGTGATGAGATCTTCTGAATCGATCCTATGTTGGCAACGGACGTCGGTGTGAGGGAGCGAAAGGGAATGGATTTGGTTGTGCCTGGCACACCGTCTTCCATATAAGTACTTGGAAACAGGGTATATTTGATGAACCTTAAACAGTATCCCAAGGACGGACTTCCGCTCACAAGCACCGGGATATTGTGTTGCCTTGCATTCCACGGCGCATACTGGGCGGCTCCAAATGCAGCAAATCCAACGCCTGTTAGTGGCTAGTTTCGGGGTCGGGTCTCCTCTGATACAATGTCTGACCCGGCACACATTCGTGCTGGGCGTCATCCTGGTCTCGCCTCGATCCTTAGCAGATGGTGCCGAAAGTGGAAGGAGAGGTTGGCGGCGGGTTGAGCAGAACCGTGCATGTTGAGATGTAATCGCGAGCGGAAACTCGCCGGCCGAGCAGATGGCCGTGGTCAGCCGAGATAAGCCGTCCCTGGCCGGACCATGGGCGCGGCGCGGCTTGACGATCCCCACCATGCTTCGGATGCTCCAGGCTATGCCCGCTATCCCAACTGGTACTTGCCTCCTTGCCCAAGAACAAAGGATGTCAGAGCTGTAGCAATCGCAGCCGCTGTTTCCGTCACTCTCTGGTAAACCGAGGGATGGTACAATGTGTGTGTGCGTGCGGGCGCGCGTTACCCACTACAAATGACGGCATTGCTTATCGCTTCTCCTTTGAAACCCTTCCATAGCCGTTAGTGTGCGGAATGTTCAGACGCGCTTCGGTTACCCGCTGCATCCGCTCCAGCAACATTGTCTGATAAGTCTCCTAGAGTCGCCGCGCAAATTGTCAAGTATTTCCAGTGCGCGGTTCAAAAACAGTCGGCCATTCGGAGAACCCTCTCCCAATAACAGGTTATCAACTTATTCTGAGCCAGCCCTCCAAGAGAAAGACGAACGGCATACTTCGGGATTGATAGCTACCTTTCAACAAATACCGAAACCATGGCGGTCGTGGGATTGAGCCAGCACGACGTCAATGTGCTCGACAAGATCAAAGATCCTGAATCCGATCCCTCAGCCAACATCCTGCTCGATCCGTCGCTTCCTCGCGACCCTCAAATCACCGACACATCCGTCTACGAGCGTGTCATCCAGAAAGAGAGGGAGATTGTCCTGTCTATGCAGCAGCTGGAGCTCCAATTGGCTGGCTTGAGACCAAAGACGGCGATTGAGCCAGTCCAGGAGTACAGGGCCCTCTTATCGAAGCTGGAGGGTTTCATCTCCGAGTACCCCAACTATGCCAGCGCCAGAAACAACCGTGTGCAGGCACTTCGACGCCTTTATGGGGACACATTGCTACTGGCAGAGGCGCCTGCAACCAGTCAGCGGCTTGTTGAGCATCCTGACGTTGCTGAAATGAGCCTCCAAGCCAAGGTCGCCCTGGAAGACATTGAGAGATCCATCGTGCTTCTGACACCCCGTACAATTTACGGCGCCATGTCGCCCCAAGCGGCTAAGACCTTGTCTCTTGCCTATACACAGCGAGCAGCCATATACCACATGACCGCAAAGCTGGTGCCCCGCTTCAAGGTGCGAGTGGATGAGGAAAGACGTGAGAGTAACTGGAGCAAACTTGAATTCGAAGAGGCGGCGTCGCGCGACTTTGCTTTGGGCGGCAGGTATGGGAATGACATAGCCAAAGGTTTGGCAGTCAGCACAAACCCAACGGCGAAGCTGTGTGGCCAGATGGTCCGAGAGGCGATGAAGAAGGAGTACGGCCCTTCATTCGGTTATTAAAGATACACAGATATAGACCGCGAGAGACCGCGTCTCCATGAACCATGTTGTACTGCTGTGCATCGCGTTTTTTCCCTTGAGCTCTCGTCGTGATATGCAGAAATCCAGATTCAAGAGGAAAACTTTGAGGTTCTTATTCGCCTGTGTGACACATGCTCGGGTCAGTCCAGTCCACGAAGAGAGGCCGAAGCTATTTTATTCAGCAGTACGGAATAACATGCCTCTGGGCAGCGGCGATAGTCTCCTGAGTCGTCCTGCCTTTATCTTTTTCCTCACGATTGATTCGCGTGGCAGCAGCACCAAGACCAATGACCAGTGCGAAGACGGGGTCTGCGACCTTTGAGATAATATAGGCTGGAGGGGCGGCCATTGTGTGCAAGAAGGGATCGCCTTGAGCTTTAGTGTGGAAAGAGTGCGAGTAGAAATGTAGTATGTCGTCGTTATCGAGCCTCGGGAACTGGTGCGAACAACGCCGACCCGAGGCGCCCTGCCCAGGTACCTACCTACCTACTTAGGTATTGCCTTACAGAGACAGCACAGACGCTCGGACACGATAGCGGCGGGTGGGGTGGGACGGGACAGCCTGAAGGAAGAGGCTTGGTAGTCACATGATTAAGCACGTGCCTTTAGGTCGAAAATCACCCACACGTCGCAGTCGAAATTTCAATTTCGCGCTACAACGAACATTTCGTAGGCAAGCGGTCCGTCGACAATCTCACCTCAGCACGCCCAAAGCCCCGACAACGCAGGTCACCATGAAGTTCCTTAAGGTCGGCAGAGTCGCCATCATCACCCACGGCCGCTACGCCGGCAAGAAGGTACGAACTCAGTCGAATATCTGCGAGCAGCGCACGCAATCCCTCCTGTCGAGGGGGATGGAAATTTCACGTCGCCGGACGAAGATACGAGGTACTGGGTGGGGGATGTGCATCGCGAAGACGAAACGAAAGAGGAGGACTGCGATCGATCAAAGTTCATTCGACGACCCCGACGACGACGCTGAAATTTCCAATACCGCCCGACTGGGAGAAATTGCTGTTCAACGTGGATACGAGACCAGACAGTACTGACGTCCGATTTATTTTTAGGTCGTCATCATCCAGCCTGTCGACTCCGGCAACAAGGCTCACCCCTTCGGCCACGCCCTCGTCGCCGGAATCGAGCGCTACCCTTCTAAGATCACCCGCCGCATGTCCAAGACCCGCCAAGAGAAGCGCAACAAGATCAAGCCCTTCGTCAAGCTTGTCAACTACAACCACTTGATGCCCACTCGCTACACTCTTGAGCTTGAGGGCCTCAAGGGCGTCGTCTCCAACGACACCTTCAAGGAGGTCACCCAGCGTGAGGACGCCAAGAAGACGGTGAAGAAGGTTCTGGAGGAGCGTTACACGAGCGGCAAGAACAGATGGTTCTTCACGCCTCTGAGTATGTGATACCTTACCGTCCGTCAAGGGCATTGTGCATGGCATCGCCTCGGTTCAAGGGTGACAAATGCGCATGAGCACCTAGCTAACTCGCAATAGGATTTTAAAAAGGGAATCCGTTTCTGCAATCGTCAACAGGTCGGGGAGTTGGGCTGGCTTGTAAAGAGCATCAATTGGCATCTGAGGTCCTCGGTTTAAGGGCTCCCAATGAGAAACCATTGAAATCAAGACATTTGCCTGTGATACCTCCAAAAGTGTGGATTGAGTTACTGTGACCGAAGAGAGTGATAGAAAGGTCTTTGATGACTGATGGGCACAATTCAGCCCTCGGCCGTGGGAGACGGCCACGATCAATGAAAATGAACACCTCATGCAAGCCAAATTCAGTCTCTCATCGTTCGTGAATGGGGTTCATCACGCACTTGGCAACCGATCCCACTGTCTCGGTAGCTCAAGGTCGACCTCTCGTGTGTTCCAATGGTTTGCAGCAAGCCGCGGCATGAGCACGGCGAAAGCTTGCATAGGCTTGATGCAAGACGGGATTTTGGGTACAGCTCCATGCCATATTTAACGGAGCAGCATTCGCCGTAGAATATCGAACCCCTTCAAAGAGGCCACCTCAGCATGACTGTGCTGAAGCAACCACACATACTTTGTGTGGCCCTACCGTCTCTGCAGTCGTCGTCACCATCTCTTATCATCATCTTCAACGTCGTGGCTATTTCTACCTTGTACTTTTATTGACTCTATGAGCTTTTGAGTGCAAACCAAAAGTGGGGGAAAATCAGCAGTCGGTTTACAACACTCCAACTTGGGCTTCTTAATGCATACCACCAGCATATTGCGCCTCGGCATGCACACTGCATCATGTAGATGCCCTAGACATTTTGGTTCAAGTTTTTGTATCATTGCGTACGTACATGTCTATATCCTTCGCCGTCTAGAGTACATCAGATTAGAACTTCATGATGCGACCCATGCAACCTAGACCCTCTGCGCTCTGCGCCTTTGCTCTATAGCTGTACACGGGGTAGTTTCCCAAACAAACGTTCCGATCTCCTCCGGATTAAAAAGAAATGGGGTCAATGGGCGCAGGATGAAGAGAAGCTCGTAATATGTACTCTGAACAGGGTAATTTCGTCGCGGAAGAGAATCTGGTATCGTCACATCTCTACGCTTACAAGTAGGAAATCGTAGGCCAAGGAAATTGCGTCTATCCTGTAGCCTATGCCCTGCTGCTGCCGAAATGGCTGTTGACTTCGTTGATCAGGTTGTGGGGGTCGTACTCGGGAGCGTATGTGGGTGCCAGGCCCCCAAGCAGCGTGAAGAGGACGAAAGCAGAGAGCACGATGATGCTAAGCTTGCGCAAGATGGGCTTGCGCTGGCCGAAGTCGGCCCACTGGCGGCCGGCCTCGCCCATGTAGCCCTTGATTTGCTCGTAGCCGAGCTTGTAGTAGACCATGCCTCCAAGGGCGATGCTGTAGCCGAAGAACTGCAAACCAGTAACCTGCGTGCCCCAAATCATCATTGACGCAACGACGAGCATTACGTCCTTGAGAACACCGCAGAGGGTCAGGACCAAAGAAGAGGTCTTGCCGATCTGTTGACTATGGTAAGCACGTGAATGTTTCCTTGCTGTGCACAAACACTTACCAAGAAAACGACGGAAACGTTCAACAAGAAGGCACAGAGTCCGTTCAGGAAGAAGGTGAAGAGTCCGACGTTGTAGACCTGTTCCATGCTGACCTTGGGAATTTCCCATACGAGGGCAACAGCCAAGTTCATGACAGCACAGACGGGAGCGAAGTAGTAGACAGACACGAGGGGGTCCATCTTGAAGTCGGCAGAGCTGAGCAGGCGCTGGACCATGGTGAGCCGCAGGGCCTCGAAGATGACACCACCAATCTGGTAAATGACACCGATCCAAACGAACTTAATCTCTCCCATCGAGGCAATAATGACACCGACAACGATGATGGAGACGTTAAGGAAAACCTTGAGGTTGGGCTGGGAGACACCGAGGGCCCATCCAGACAACAGAACGGCGACGGGTGTGGTGGCCTATGATTGTTAGCGGTTGGGTGTTGAATGTCGGGTCATGGAGTTCCTACTTTGAGCATTTGGATGAAGGCAACAGAGAGATACAGGTAGGTCAGGTTGCCACATATCAAGCTCAAGCTGAAGAACACGCCAATAGGCACGATGGCCCGCATGTAGACACGACCAGTCATCTTAACCGACTTGCGTCCGTCGAGAACAGTAGTCCAGCGCGCGAGAATCTGGGTCATAATGGTCGCGAAGGTCAAGTGGTAGGTCGTCAGGATAACCGGGTAACCTGTGCTCGATTAGCCTTGTCGGCGGTGATCGCTTGTCAGAGGAATCTGGCTTACGGAAATTGAGGGTGTCGAGAATCCATTTGTTGAAGAGAATAACGGAGGAGGACAGAGAGATCCAGACGCTGGGATTCCAAGTCAGCAAAACTTTGCGAAGGGCCACTACTTTGAACTAAGCAATTATTTGGTTCCTTCTTACATGACGTATAGCGCAGGGTGAATGGCAGCCTTGGGAGGCTGGGACTTCTCAAGGTCTGGGTTCGTCGTGGGCAAGATAGAGCCGTTTTCTCCACGAGGGACCTCACCCGAGACGCGCGTCTTCTCGTCGGCGCCCATTGTGTCGGTACGGTGATGCGGTGTGGTGGGAGAGAGGACACGGTGATGAGGAGGACGTCTGAGGCTAAGATGGAGGGTCGAGGGTGGTGAAGGTGGTGAGGGCGGTGATGTTGGTGTTGGCGGAGCAATTTGATACAGCTCAGATGCCCCCCCCCCAAAAAAAAAGGACAGGACGCGCAAAACGAGAGCGAGCGAGCGGACGGGACGGCCAAGCACTCGTTAAAGGTGTCGTGGGGTAGCGACAGGTACTTTAACAATATGCAATTCGGGGGTCCCAGGGGTAAATGGTAACAGACACCGGTTTCTGGCCTGAGCCGCGACTAAACCTTGGCTAAGCACGGCTTTGGGTTGCAACTGGTGGTAGCTAGGGAAGAATCGAAGAAGGTAACCAGAAGAGAAGGCTTTGGTAGTGCGGGACTCTGAGGGATCGAGTTTAAAAAGGAGGCTGCTTGAGGGTGAAGAGGTTTTTTTTCCCCCTTCGCCTTGGTTCGCCTCTACGTGTTTGGTCCTTGTCCTCCGGGAAGGGGAGAGGGGGGGAAAGGAGGAGAGTGGGAGGGGTGTGTGGGAGGCTTAGTCGGGGTTGGTGCAGGTGCAGCAAGATAGATACCTATGTGTCGGCAATTATTAAAATAAAATAAAAATAAAAAGTACCACCCAGGAAGAAGAGGGGAAGGGAAGGGGGACGAGAGGGACAATCATTCCTTTACCCTTCCTGCCTGCTTGTGAGGTACCTGCACTCGAACTGATTGACCAGGTTCTGGGATAGCTGGGAAGAGGCGACCTTCTCCTGTTGCTCTGGCAGAGAACACGGTCTGGTTCTGGAAATTGAGGTTCACGTTGACGCGATGAAGCCCGCCCAATCCAGGATGCGACAGACAATGGACCCAGTAGAGGCACCTGCCGACCTGCATCGATGCACAGTCACCGATACTTGACGGAGTGGGCCCTGAGAGCCCCCGACAGGCCGCAAGTATTGCCAGCCGGAGCGCTGGCCGAATGTATCTGGTACATGAGCCACTCTGAGGGGACCACCGTGGTACGCCACCCTCTCAGGGGCTGCAATGGGCCTAATATTAGTGCTGCCAATCTTGGATAGGGGCCGCAAATCAAGCTCTGCCTGCCCACCCACGTTCTGGTCCTTGGCATTTCACCACCTCTTCATCTACAGTCCCACTAAGTCAACCCCCCGTGATATTACTTTACATGATAAAACACAGGAACTTGGAAGGTCGGAAGAACATGGACGCTCATCGACCCCTCTGCGCCTTTCGCATAGATGTCTTTGATGACTGGATGGTAGCAGCGGCCCGCACATGTGGTTTCGCCTCTCAAAGGAGCCTCTCCCCGGCGTCGCCTCGCCTCATGTCGCCGCGGCTGTGGACGTGAACGTGGCATGGTTGAACAATGCCTGCATCGGCAAACAAACAGAGCCCGGCCCAAGAAATTGCCTTCCACCTCGTGCGGCTGGTAATGTTGTCTATTCTCCCAATCTCTCTAGCCTGACAGAGATCCCGTTTCGTTCCCGGCCGAGCCAGGTCTTATCGAGATCCATGGCCGTCAAATACCTACCTATCCGTATCACCAGCAAACGGCCGAACAAAAATAAGCTAGAAGGGCCAGCGAAGAAAAGAAACCCTCGCCCGTAATTGCTCCGAACCTATTTTGGCTACATTCGAGCTGCTGCAGCTGTGGCAAGACTAACGCAAGGTGCGGACTCAATCAACTCCAGACCTGCGCTTGCTTTGCCTACTGGTTACAGGGAGTCGCTGTGGCGGCAAGGAGAGTTAATCTGATGCTCGCGGCCGAGGTTGAGGCTCGCCGTACCTTACCTGTGACTGGCAATTCTCCAATTTCATGACAGACAATGACAGGCCGTCCCAGTGGCATTCATGATCGCCAGCGACTCCCACGAGTCGTGACTGGGTGGGACCCTTGACGTCCTGCCTGCCTGATATCAACGCCAGCCAAATGCGAGGTGCTGATTATGATGCTGAAGCTCCTTCGACGAGACCCTTCCTTTGCGGACCGATTCCGTGAGGCATCTGGCTGAACGCGTCGATAGTGGCAATGACGTTCCGGGAAACGGCTGCCGGGACGAGGGTTGGTGTACGATGCTTCAGGCCCTCCCCCGGCACAGCTGCCGCCTTACTTAAAGTAAGAATACGTAGATGGGATGCCGTCAACGACCTCGCACGCCGCACCCGCCTGGCTCCTTCGACTGCCTCAACGACCCCTCTTGGTTCTCGCAGACACCAGATCGTGCGCACCGGCCGCTTGGATCACGGTCCCGGGATACTTTGAGGCTGCCGCCTTCATTCGTAGGGCTCCATCTTCCCTTTCCAAGTGTCATCGCCCGAGACTCTCGGGCCCGTGAAAGGTTCATTCCATCTCCCGTCTTCGGCCAGGTCTCACTTCAGCCTTACTCCGAACGGGCCTTGCGTGGCTGCCACACTCGCCGCATCAAGCCATGCCGTTGTGCGTATACCACTGGGCCATAACCCACCCGTGGCGCGTGGCATGCAATTCGGGTCACTGCAGTGGGAGCTGCCTGCATCCATTGCCTGCCTTGCAACTGTCGCTGGCTGCGTCTCTAAATTGTAGAGCACGATTTGGAGAGATATGCAAGTCAGCGGTCGTCAACATCATCGGATCTTGCTGAATCGACATCGATTGTCGAGTATAGTACTAATAGGTTGCACTTCCAGCGTTCTATTGACCGTAGCAGGTACAATGACTAAGTATCCCTCTGAAGGACAGGTTTAAGCGTCAACCTGTATCTCGGTCATCGGACGAAAGTCTGCATAATACCCGATCAATCCTCCTTTGCAACCACAGAAGGGCTTACAAGTTACGACTTCGACACCAAGCATTCTGTCAGCATACGTCTCGGCCATATTCTTCAGCTGATGCTACTGTTAATAGAAATGGCTGTTTGGAATGCGTCCTGAATCAGTGGCTGACCAAGTCGAGGTTCATGCGGCGCGTCAAACCGACCCGAACGATCTACAAGAGAGATCCAGTTTGTCTGTTTCAGAGTCTTGATGAGATGGAGCCCTTATCCTTGCAAGGATGCCGGGCTGGCCTCTCGAACAATTGTCTCGTTCCGGGAATCGGCCGTCATTCGACAGAACTTCCTCGCCGCAGTGGGGAAGACACGCACGCTCACAAACATGCCTATCCGTACTCTGTACTGAGTACTGACTGCCGCTGGGTACTGCATGTCCGTACCAAGGTTCGCCAACTGCAGGCTACTCAACTCAACTCTGATTTCTCTCATTAGTACTCAACACCTACCACCAGCACCACCACTGACGGGCCGATGGGCTCGTTAGTATCTTGGTGATCGGCCCTCACAGCCTCATTTGCTACTCTGCTCCGCAGGTTAGCGGCAGGGGCAATCCCGCATTGGGATGCAAATGTCAATCACCAGCGCAAAGAGGCAGCAGGGGCTCCAGGACGGCGTCTGTTTGTAACAACTACCGACGGGTCGAAATTGACGCGGTCTACGGATACCGCGTACTCCATCAACATTCCAACTGAGACCCAGCGGTGACGACAACGGTCAGGATCTGACTGACGGAGGACAAAGGCGGGAAGTTTGTCTTGTTGTAGATTGCCAGACACTCAAACCATGGCATCTGGCCCGAGTGTCACTACCCCTGTTGTCAGTGAATTACCCTTGCTCATTTCACCAACAAGCTCAACCGCCCGCCCTGGTCCTCGACCTCGCCCTCGCCCTCGCCCTCTCCTTTGCCCTCGTGGGGGGATGGGCATGGCACGGAACGGCAAGACAAGCCCAGGCATGGCGCAACGAGCAAGCAGAAAATAAGAAAGGCCGAAATCAATTTCTCGAGCGACGATCTCTTGCCGAGAGGCGAGATGCAGACCACATTGCACCAACGCGGGAGACAACGATATCCCTGTCCATATCTTGATTGGCGACGCACGAGGTTGATGAAAATGAGCAGATGGAACATGGGCTCTTTTTTTCTTCTCCCCCCGGTCCCGAGCAGGCGATTGGAGCTCCAAGTTTCCAACTACCATCCTCATCTAAGATACCGGACCTCTGATCTCTGAACTCGGCTTCCTTGGGTAATGTGCGGGTAGAGGCGACGGGGAGACTGAAGCATACAGAAAGCACAAACGGCGCACCCGCCGTTCCATTTGGCTCCGGCAGTCTGACTGGCGGCCGATGTCCCGACGCCAACGGCAATATGTATTCGTAACTTGTTTCGGTCCTATCAATTCGTCAACGACTCAAGTCAACAAAGGCCGCGTACTCGACTCAGTCAGTACTCTGGAGGAATGGCCGACTTCTCGCCAAACCGAAACGGTACCAAAGCCGGCGTTCACTCGTCCAATGCTACACATGACTGATGATCTTGGACTCTGGGGTTGGTGGTCTGAACAACCAAACAAATCAAGCTTGGTTTGCATCATTGGATCGATGGTCAGCTGCAGAGTGCCAGTGAAGGTGGGATTGCGTTCAATCTTAAGAGATTGCGCCGGGTAGGGTCCCGTCCTCCAGCGTCGTTACAACTTGTTTTGTGGATGGATGACTCTTTCTCGCACTCTTGCTCGTGCGCCCAAGAAAGAAAAAAGAAAAAAAAAACTGAAGAGAGGAAAGGTCGGCGGGTTGCTCCATGTCACCATGATGGTTCTCTAGCACGCAAAAGATAAACAGACAAGTTGACGTGGACTGCTTAAAGTCCCGGACAGCCAAAACGAGAGAAACCTCCTTCGACCGGTTGCGCCAAACAGTCCTTGGTTCAGTAAGGTCTCGGGTATCTAACCTAGGTAAGGCACCTTACCTTTAAGTGAGGTGCCTACCTCAAGATAGGTAGGGTATTGAGCGCTGGCGACAGCGGCAGCGTTAGCGGCGAACACTGAACGCAGAGGCAGGCACCGACGCACACGCAAACGCGCAAACACGCAAACACGCAAACACCATGACAGCGATGTAGCTCCCACCAAGTCTGAGCGATATGCCGGAAAACAGCTGCCAGACTAGGAAATGGAGGCGAGAGAACGTGTGAGTTTAAATTGGCAGTGGGTTCGGCTCGGGACATGAGAAAATATTGGTGCAAGCCACATCAACAAACCCACTCCTGCACAGCTACAGGCATGATATGTCTTGATGTTTTAGACGAGAATTACGCCGCTTGCTGTCAACGGGGAAGCGGTGTCGGCACCAAGTTGCAGAGACAGCGGTCAAGTTAGTAGGTGATGGCTTCAGGAGCAGTCAAGATCTACAACAGCAAATCATTGCCCCGTAACGAGCACCGATAGCCAGAGTCGTTGATTGAAAGAATATGGTTGGATGACAAGCTGGGTATGGAGGGCGGACGGGTCAAGGATGTCGACGGGATGGACCACTCGTGTCCCTTGCTTTTACAGCGGCAAGACAAGGAACCTTGCACAGGTTGCGTTGATACCTTCCTTTCCCTCGAGGTTGGTGCAGGAATTCTTGCCAACGGCTCTGCTGTCCAGGAGGCGGTCAACAGCTGCCTTCCATCGGCTTGGCGGTCTGTCACAGAAAATGATTGCCTGGGTAGGTCACGTCAGGGTCGGGACGAAGGGGCAGGCGTGCAACGCGACGGGGCATGCCGCATCAGGGCAGATTGGAGCTTCATCAATTATAATGATGACTGGCCATGGGGCTGTTTGTCTTCATGTCAACGCCGGAAACCGGAAGGCTGGATGTACACCAACTTATTAGTTAGGTATGGACGAACGAAATTGAATGGTGATCCGGGCACCCAGTGCGGTATGGGCGAGTGTTTTGTTTCCCCCGATGCGTGGGATGCGTAGGTAGGTTGTTTACTCTATATTAGTAGAGTGTAGATGATGAATCCACCAGCCATCTCATTGATTCAATGGACCGTGAGGGTAATTGATGAGGAGTAGGAGGAGAAGGCCGAGACTGGGACTGGGACCTGAGGCGGGGATGAGGACGGGGACAGGCAGGAAATCTTCGGTTCCACGCCCCCCTACTAGTGCAATGGGAACGGGTTGACGGGTGTGTGTGCGTACGTGGTTTATGGACCGTGGGGCAAGGAAACCCGGGAATTCTGGGAACGTGTCCTCGAGTCTTTGGGGAAGCGTCGAAGCGAGGGCAAGCAGCCTCCACAGGCATCTCCAATTCCCAGTTTCCTGACGGCCCAGAGGGAAAAGACCAGACCAGACCGGACCAGACCGCAGCTCACTCGAGTGGAGGGACCCGTTCTCATCCCACCAGAAAAGCCGACCTGGTATGATGCTGGATTGAACAATTGACAGTTGGTTGACTGAGTGAGCGTGGTGAGAACGGTCGCCATGGACTTTCACATATGCAACTGAGAGATTCTGGTGTTTCTGTTTCCAAGCGTCTGTCTGGTCTATTGACAACCCGTGCTTCTCCTCTCCCTCGTCCTCTTACTTCTTTTTGTCTTGTTCTCCTTTCCTTCTCCCTTCCCCTCTCCTGTCTTTCTAAGTAGCCCCCCCCCCCTTTTTTTTTTTTTTTTTTTTTTTTTTTTTTTTTTTTTTTTCCTTCCCCTTCCCTTCCCCTCCCCCTCTCTCTCTCCCTCTCTCTCTTTTTTCCCACCTCACGTATCATCTATGTAGGTCGTTTACTCAAGCCACCCTACATGACATCTCACAGGTACCTATGTACCTAAGGTAAGGCACGGATGGATACTTTGCCGCCTCAAACCAACCGGACACTCAGTTGCAAGTCTGTAACCACAGGTGGGCCTACAAGTTCCATTGCCTACCTAGGTAAGGTACAGTGTAAGTGCCGCTATTGGGAAGCTGGAATCGTGGTGTCATTGTGGTTGCTGGCTGGACAAGCTTCCGGCCTCCACTGTTGTGGGTGTACACTGGTCACTCACCTTACTAAGGTTGGCATCTGTCGGCACCCCCTTACTGCAAAACACACACATTACCTGTGGCTGTTTTTGCACACCTGCATCGCCGCTGTCTCTGGGTTGTTTCTTCTTCAACCGCATTGCAGCCCTCGTCCGCGGCTGCATGGCACATGTGGCTGTCGACAGGGCAGAGCAGGGTTGAAAGAGAGGAGGATAATAATAAGTAAGGGAGGCGGATGCGGATGCGGATGCGGAAGCGGAAGCAGCGCAAGGGGGCCGGTATGGGTACACAGCTTGCTGCCGGGCCTCGCCATTGCGTTCCCCGTCGCGGTCCAAATTGCAGTGCAATGCAGGCAAGGTAGGTAAGGTAGGTAAGGTCGGTAAGTAGGCAGTCGCAATGTGCCCTGGAAACAATTAGGTACTCAGGTAAGTACCTTACCCAAAGTGTAGGTAGGCAGGTAGACAGCTAGACAGATAGGTAGTAGGTACATTAGACACCGCCAAGACATTTCAAGATGCCTCTAATTAGCACGACACACGCACAATCACTTACCACCTCGCCTTGCCCAGATAGAACACCTGACAAAAGCATCCCGTCCACATATCGATGTCTGCCTAGACACCTCACCTTACCTTTAGTTACCTTATAATAGAACATGCTTAGTTACTATGCGGCCGGTGCACCAGTTCTATGGACAGATGGTTGCTGGTGTCGTGGTGATGCTTGAATGCCTGCCTTAGGTGTCTACCTGTGAACGTAGCAAACATCCATGCCCAGCCTGGTGGTTCGCCATGGTGGCATCTTATCATCCGTCAGCGGGCGACCACCAACACCACCACCACCACCATAAGCACGACGCCTCATCTCACCGTTCCTGCGGCTCCCGACCCGACCGTCCTACGGCGGTACAGGAAGGGTGGAAAGGTCTGCCGCACCTCCAGCACACCTCACCTACCTCGAAAGCAATGACCAGGGGGCCCCGCCATTACCCCTGTCCCAAGTAATAATTTTGGCCCCTCCATCACAGCAGTCGGTCCCCTTTTCTTTGGAACCAGTCGAAACTCATATCTACAGCAACGGCCACGACTGCTGCCACGCGCGACCTCCCTTCTTCTCCTCTCTTTGCTGCCAACTCCGTCACCTCCTCCCGAGTCTCAATTCCTCTTGAATATCCCTCCGCTGCTATCTCGCGAGCTGTGCCATCGCCAGACCTACGAGAGCATTGCCTTGCTGCGCCATTTCTCGTCTTCTAGTACCAAGTTGTAGCATCATCATTACTTCCACAACCCCCACCATGGCTGACATGTGAGTATCTTCTCTGCCTTTCTGGCACCCCCGAATCGCTGGTTCTCGTTCCAGAACCTCACGGCCTCTCTTGCGGCATGCATGGGACTTCCAATTGAAAGAACTCCTGCTGACCGTCCCCTCTGCAGTAACGTTGATGTCTTGGTTATCGGCGCCGGCCCGACCGGTCTTGGTGCTGCGAAGCGTCTCAACCAGATCGTGAGTTCTCACCGCCAGATTGCACACCTACCCCTGTCACTTCGAATGCGCATATTGACCGATTCCTGCAGAACGGCCCCTCATGGCTGCTCGTTGACTCTGCCGACAGGGCTGGCGGTCTTGCCTCGACCGATGTGACCCCCGAGGGCTTCGTAAGTGCTTCCTACACAGCGAGCTTTGCTCAGCCTTGCGCCGACGCCTTTTGACCAGTTTCTTTCCAGCTCTACGATGTCGGTGGTCACGTTATTTTCTCCCACTACAAGTACTTCGACGACTGCATCGACGAGGCCTTACCCAAGGACGATGACTGGTTCACCCACCAGCGTATCTCCTATGTCCGTTACAAGGGCCTTTGGGTACCCTACCCCTTCCAGAACAACATCTCCATGTTGCCAAAGGAGGACCAGGTCAAATGCATGAACGGCCTTATTGACGCTGCCCTCGAGTGCCGCGTCGCCAACACCAAGCCCAAGGACTTCGACGAGTGGATTCTCCGCAACTGCGGTGAGGGCGTTGCCGATATTTTCATGCGCCCTTACAACTACAAGGTTTGGGCTGTTCCTACCACCAAGGTAAGAAGCTTCAAGCAAACTAGTATGTATCAAGCACGTCAGATCACTAAACTGTGCCCCAGATGCAATGCCAATGGCTCGGAGAGCGTGTCGCTGCCCCCAACCTGAAGCTCGTCACCGAGAATGTCGTCCTAAACAAGGTCGCCGGTAACTGGGGTCCTAACGCCACCTTCCGCTTCCCCGCTCGCGACGGTACCGGTGGTATCTGGATCGCTGTTGCAAACACTTTGCCTCAGGACAAGATCCGCCTGGGCGAGAAGGGCTCCGTCGAGAAGGTTGACGCTCAGGGCAAGGTTGTCACTCTCAAGGATGGCACCACTGTCAAGTACAACAAGCTCGTCTCTACCATGAACGTAGACCAGCTCGTTGAGAGGATGGGCAACCAGGAGCTTGTCAGCCTGTCCAAGGGTCTCTTCTACTCTACTACCCACGTCATTGGTGTCGGTCTCCGTGGCGCCCGCCCTGAGCGCATTGGCGACAAGTGCTGGCTGTACTTCCCTGAGGACAACTGCCCCTTCTACCGCGCCACCATCTTCTCCAACTACTCTCCGTACAACCAGCCCGAGGACAGCAAGAAGCTGCCCACCCTCTACTTGGCCAACGGCAGCAAGGCTGAGTCTACCGAGGCCAAGGAAGGCCCCTACTGGTCCATCATGTTGGAGGTTTCCGAGTCTTCCATGAAACCTGTCGACCAGGAGAAGATCCTCGAGCAATGCATCCAGGGTCTCATCAACACCGATATGATCAAGCCTGAGGACGAGATCGTTTCCACATACCACCGCCGCTTCGACCACGGCTACCCCACTCCCTCGCTCGAGAGAGAGGGCGTCCTCAAGGACCTCCTGCCTAAGCTTCAGGGCTTGGACATTTACTCCCGTGGCCGCTTCGGCAGCTGGAGGTACGAGGTCGGCAATCAGGACCACTCGTTCATGCTCGGTGTTGAGGCTGCCGACAACATTGTGAACGGTGCCGTCGAGCTCACGCTCAACTACCCCGACTTCGTCAACACTCGCCGCAACGAGGAGCGTCGTCTGGCTCAGTCGTACAACTTTGCCTCCAACGCCAACGGCACAGCACTCCCCTCGCACAGCAAGTAATGCTGTGGCGTATGGGCGGAAGCCGTAAGATAAGAATGGGCTGATATTTTCGTCTTATCGCTGTGAAGCATTAGAAAGCATGGACATGACCAATGAAAGGCGGCAAGCTCAGGGGAGATGGAGCTTTGGCTAAGCATATAAGAATACCTGGGAGTTTTGTTGAATGAGGGGGATTGTTTTGCGCCATACCCACGATGTAGATGAATCGTGCGCATATGTATGCGTAGGGCTTCAGTGAGCCCTGTCAAAAGGGAAAGCTATATAGAATATAGATATCTTTGACACGTACTTTTGATACCATCTATTTTCGCGAATGTCACTCGATACGTGCTGGCGACTGAGAGGATGAAATAAGGTAAGGGGTGTTGGATGACGGGTCCTGTAGTCCCGGTGGAGCTCTGCTCTGCACAGCATTTTAGCCATCAGTTGCTAGCTCTCAGGTACAATGGATTTACCTAGTGCTAGTTCCCTGATAATTCACCAAACTTGTAATGAGTGAAATTGGATTTACCAGTTTAACTCCGTTGGCGAAGCGCCTTGGTCGGTCACGTCTTTTGTTGCAACCATGGGCGTGGAGAAACCAAGTTTAAGGATGGGACGGTTGGAAGGCGGCGGTGTTTTGGAGAGTTTCTTGGTCCAAGGTCTGCGTGGTTTGTTGCAGCGAGTGCAACACTTCAGTCAGGACCGATTTCACTTTGCGGGAGGGACAGGGTTTTCGAAGTGCGGCTTTGGCGGCAGGATGAAGGTGGTCGCGAGTGACATCATTTGGGGTCCGAACTTCTGGCAAAGACATGCCCATCTCGAGGTTTTGCTCTCCGAAGAGGGAGAATGCAACAGTGTCGCGATTCAGGCCTGGAGTTGAGCGGGACGGATATTTCCCGAAGGGCTATTTCGATTTGGATGTACCTGTGGACGAGTCGTGACGACTCTGTTGAGAGCCCTAGGGGCGTGGCTGGATTGGCAGAAACAGGCGGTCAAAGGAAGGAGGCCAGAGGGAGCAAAGAGGGAACAAAGACACAAAGCGATTCAATGCTAGCCGCGGTGAGCTGTCCCATTGTAGGCAGAGACCATGCCGTGGAGGGCTGTAACAGACAGGCCAACCAACCCGAGCAGGTCGCTCCGCGCCTGCCAATCATTGCCCTTTCGTCTGGCCGTCACTCTGTTCGGCTTGACTGCGTGTGTACTCCAGTGTTGTCTCCCGTCTGCAAAGATGCTGACATATTTGACTGTTCTGACTGTTGGACCTCCAGCTACCTACCTAAGGTCACCTCAGCCTTGACTCAATAAAGTCACCTATGTATCCCTGGGTTTGGGGCGTCTTCCAAGGCAACAAGCTGTCACAGTGATGCCTCAGTGTGCATCTGTAAGCTGGTTGATAGGTGCCAAACACCGGTTGTGTCCCACCTACAAACCTGATTCTGATGTGCCTGGCCTTAGATGGTATGGGGTCTTTGGGGAGGGGGGTTGAGCACCTCCGTTACCTACCTGGGCACCTACCTAGGTACTTACCCTGCCTATTAACCTCAGGTACCTGCCCGAGGAACGGTATCTTAGCAGCTTTGGTAGGTAGGTACGTAGGCGCCCGGACGGTAAGGTAATGCCCTTTTCTCCGACATTCAGCCTGGCACCGCTACCGCTGGAGTACCACCACTTCCACATATGCCTAAAGATTCCTCAGGTGCTTACCTACCTCAGGTGCTTACCTACCTCAGGTGCTTACCTACCTACCTTACCTCAGGTACCTTACCTCCACCTACCTAGGTACCTAGGTAAGGTACTTTAGGTCCGGTCAAGGGGAGCCCAGGTGAGCTGCCGTACCTACCCACGGTGCCCAAGGTAGGTAGGTATCCATCCATCACTTCCTGCCCCTGCCTAACCACCGACGACAGCTGCATCTCCCGATCCGTTAGTCGCCGACGACGCCGCCGACGCATCACTAGACGCAGCGTCAACCTCACGCCTCTTCCTAGGGAGCCCGTCGTTGTCCACGCCGCCTTGATTGCGATACTTCAATTAAGCGGCGCCCAGTCTGTTTCACGCGCGCATCTCTATCCTAGAGGCATAGGGCTGTAGCGGGGCCTTTGCCATAACGTCGCTCACGAATCCACGACGACGACAACGACCAACACCACCACCGCCGCCGCCGCACAGCCAACACCAAATACACTCACTGCATAATTGCACCACGTCCGCCGTCTCACAACACTCCCTTGGGCATTTTGTAAAACCATGAAATGGTCTGCCGCGCCTAGTTGACGCTTTTGACGCCTCCGACCGAAATCGTACAAGCCCTTTTGCGCCAACCGCCGTCACCGAGACCACGAGTTCGTCGCCAACGCCCGCCCGCCCGCCCGTCCCACTGCCTCCTCCAAAAATCGATCTCCCACCCCGCCATCACCATCACCAACACGAATCACCACAAAAGGTCTCCGAGCTCTAGGCTTACGCCTATGACTGACCTCAATGATGGACGGCACTGCCATCGTGTCGGATGACCACTTCGACCCCCCGTCGCGTCTGTTCGAGCGTCTCCGCCAGATTGCTGGTTATACCTGGGATGAGTCCAGACTTCCCTTCCACACATCCTATGACATTTGGTGCGTCCTCCTGCTTGTGCAACCCACCCCAAATATGCGCGGGGCCTTGCTTCTCTGCTACTGCCGATCTCCGTTTAATCTAACGTGCGCTTCACAGGCACGTATGTGGCACCAGATTCGTGTCACCCTATCAACCCTCCTCATCATCCCACCCCGCCTCCAGTCCTGGATCAACCGCGAGACTCCAGTCCGGCCGACCCTCACCCTCAGAGCATGCGAGCTCCACGAGCCTGCACTCCGGTCTACCCAGCGATGCTAGCAGCGACTTCTCTGCCACCTCTCCCCCAGCCAGCCAGGCTACTGGTGCCGAAATATCATACATAGAAGAGCCCGTGGTGGCTCGCGTCTCATACCACGTCCTTCGTGAAGAGAGGGCGTTCCATATCGCCAAAAACCTATTCGCTACAGCTGATCCCAATGGCCATCACATTGTCAAGCCACTCGATCTCATCCGTCTCGCGCCTCACCCGGGCGACCGCGGTTCCATTGTGGTTGCAATCTACCAACACCCCGGCCAGAACTACTTGTTTGATTTGATAGACCTGGGACCAGCCTTTTACAAGGCAAGGAAGGTGGATGACAGATATGAAGCCTATCGTAGAGACAAACTTCATCTGAAAGAGCCCATCAACTTACAAGAATTCCTCGATTTCGCGATTGGCGCAAGTCAGTGTCTTGAAATCCTCCACTACGGGCAGGTCATCACCCACGGAGAGATTCGCCCTGATTCCTTTCACTTCAATATCGACACGAATTCTGTCAAACTGATCAATTTTGGTACGGGCACGAGGTCATTCGAGGGCGGCTTGTCGAGTACGTCCTGGTCAAGCTTATCGAAAGAGCTAGGCGCCAAGAACAAGCTCCTCTATATCAGCCCCGAGCAGACCGGACGTATGCCGGCGGAACCTGACAGCCGGACTGATATATACTCTCTCGGTGTCGTTTTCTGGACTTTGCTCACTCAACAGCCTGTTTTTGAGGGGGAGACGCCTTTGGACATCGTACAAGGCGTTCTGGGCCGACGGATCCCCAACGTTTCCCAGGTTCGGCTCGATATACCAGACGTCATTGGGCGCATCATACAGAAATGTACAGCGAAGAATGTGGCCGACCGCTATCACTCGGCAAGCGGCCTGAAACATGACTTGTTAAAAGTGCAGCAGTTCTTGACCGACGGTGACTGGCTGGCACTCAAGGAGTGGAAGATTGGAGAGAAGGATATATCATCGTTCTTCATCCTACCTAGTATGATGATTGGGCGTCAGAAGGAAAGAGCAGAGGTCATTAGAGTGATTGAGCGCGTTGCTAAGAGCCATTCTATGAACCAAAAATCGGCAAATAATCGTTTCTCTGACGGATCTCAACTCTCCGCCGAGCTTCCAGACTGCGCAGATCTGTCGAGCGAAGGTGCAAGCTCTGCAGAAGGCACCACGCGACGAAGCGGATCATTCACACACACCACATCCTCAGACCCAAGACAGTCGAAAGCAAGCTTCGTACCGTCAATCTTGTCCGATACTCAGACAATATCCGGAGACACCATCGCATCGTCCAATTCTGGCCCTCTTGGGCGCATGACCAGACCATGGGAGAGGCACCAGTCCGTGTCCATCGAGACCCGGAGCCTTGCGGATGGAATAGGAACACCAACTGACAGCAACCGACACAGTGCTGTCGAGTCATCATCGTCGAGTCTGTCCCGCCAACTAGGTTCAGCCAAGTTCAGGAGACGCGGTCATTGCGAAATTGTCCTTGTGGAGGGTGCCGGCGGGCTTGGCAAGAGCTGTCTGTATCAATCTGTACTTGCGGAAGCCAGACGGAGAGGTTATTGCGCCACGGCGAAATTTGACACAGCTCGCCGAACTGCTTTCGGACCGCTGCTCAAGTTGTTGTCGTCATTGTTCAAACAAGTCTTCGGAGAACGAAACACAGATACGCCATTCCATCAAGCTCTGAAGCAGTACGTACGACCCGTGTGGCCGACCCTCCACAAGGTACTTGGGTTGCCCGATTTCCTTATCGGCGCACTTGACAACTCTTTGCCACGATCTGTATCAATCACTCAAGGTTCCAACCAGACTCGCAACATACGGACGGGGCTCAAAAGACGCGGCTCATCCCCGGGAAGCTCACCCAGCCGCTTGGCGAAGCCTACCGTCATCTCTTCACAAGCCTCTCAAGACTTTTTACGGGCCGGTGGAGCAACAAAGACTATGCGCTTAATGAACACCTTCCTAGATGTCCTCCGCATGTTCACGTCTCACAAATTTATTTGTTTTGTATTGGATGACCTTCACTTTGCTGATGACGAGTCCTTAGAGTTGATTACTCAGATCATTGGAGCACGAATGAAGATGGTCGTCATCATAACATACCGCCCTGAGGAGCTGTCCCCCGAGCGAGTACAGTCCATCATTCAGCCTCCTGAATCTGAAGGTAAGCCTCAACATCGCCTTTCCTGTGCATCGCACACAGTATTCTAATATCGTCCAGAATTCCCTCGGTCGGGCGGGCCGGTCGTTACTCGCATCCGACTAAATCCATTAGGCGAGGAGGAGATAATTCAATACGTGTCGACCACGCTCTGCAGGCCAAAAGAGGAGGTCATGCCGCTGGCCATAGTCATACAGTCGAAAACCGCAGGAAATCCGTTTTATATGCGGGAGATGCTAAGCGCGTGTTACCGGAAAAGGTGCATTTGGTACGACTACAGGGACAGCAACTGGCACTTCGACCTTGACAGGCTTTTTGAGCACTTCCAGGGCGAAAGCGATTACGACATACTTGACACGGGTTTCATTACCAGGAGGCTAAATGAGTTACCCCCATCTTCTCGAGCGATACTTGCCTGGGCTGCACTGCTTGGCTCATCCTTCTCATTCGAGCTCATCACCAGACTTCTGAGCGGGGAATTCCAGTACGAAGATGAAACCACATGCCGGGGTCCTGGAAACGAGCGATATCACGCATCGTACTCTCAACAAGAAGCAGTCAACGGTCTTCAAGCTGCCGTTCAGGCCTACATTATCGTCCCTAGCGAGACAGACGACAGGTTCCGGTTTGCCCATGATCGATTCATTCAAGCGTCAGCAGCCCTCAAGGAGTGCAATGCTCGAAAGATGCACTTCGTCATCGCGCAGACTCTTTTGAAATACTACTCCGCAGATCCTAGGGCAAAGGACAATACAGCCTCGCATATTTGTGAGTCTGTTGACATTATTAAAAAGCGAGTCCCTCGACGCGAGCCATACCGGAAGCTGCTGTTTGACTGTGCACAAGCCGCCGTCGAGAATTGCGCCAGGCCAACAGCATCAAAGTTTTACAGCACAGCAGTAGCGCTGTTGCAACCAGATCCGTGGAACGACGAGCTCGATGATGTATCTTACGATGAGACCATGCAGCTACATCTTCGCGCCGCCGAGTGTTATCTTTACATGGGAAATCACGGAGCAGCTAATGCCCTGCTCGAGACAGTTTTCATATGTGCTCGAAGTCCCTTGGACAAAGCACCAGCCTATGTCCTGCAATCGAGAACATTGGCTCAGATCGGAAATGCAAAGGGGGCATTGGCATCATTGAGAGAGTGCCTTCGCGCACTGGACGTCGAATTTGATGACGATCCGACGTTTGAAAAGTGCGACGACCAGTTCGAGAAAATGTCCGTCAGGATTCAGACGATGGACAAAACCGAGCTTATGAACCCAACACCATCGCTGGATCCCGGCTTGCCGTCTATCGGAGCAGTACTGGCAGAAACTGTCAGCGCGGCATGGTGGAGCGACTATCTTCGGTTTTATCAGCTTTCCTTGGTTATGCTGGAGCTCCATCTCACTCATGGCGCCTTCCCGCAGTCTGGAATGGCGTTTCTGCATCTCGGAATCATTGCTCTCGCTAGGTTTAACATGGTCAGTTTCGCAGTCGAGGTGGGCAATGTCTGCATCGAACTGCTTGGTCGATACCGAGACCCATTTTCAATGGCCAGAGGTTACATGCTCTACGCAAACTTCATCGGCCACGTACAGATACCGGTGGCCGTTGCGTTAAATCACTTGGAGGGGTCTGTAGAGTATGCCGCAGCAGCCGGCGACAGAATCTCTTCCATCCTCAGTTTCGGCCTGGCAGCGCAACTCAAGTTCTTTTCGAGCGAGAACTGCTCAGATCTGGAAGCGTTCTGCCAGTATGGTTGCGAAGAGATTCCAAACTGGCATCAGGATACAAGAGGCGGCACTCTGCTTATCTCAATCCGACAGGCTTGTCGCGCTTTGCAGGGGAAAACCCGCACAACTGAGCCGCTAGATGTTATGACAGACGACCAGCACAATTCCGCAACCTACAAGGCTTGGCTAAGAACCAACACCCAAAATGGCAATCGCTCCATCCTCTGGTACGAGAGCATTGAGATCGTGCCTCTGTTTATCTATGGCCATTACGACCGAGCCATTGAGGTCGGACAGGCGTGCTACGAAAGCGTTCAAAACCTATGGTCTGCGCGGAACAGTAGGCTGGTGATCTTCTTTTACGGTCTTGCCCTCGCCGGTCGCATGCTCCGCAGACTCAATGACCCTCGGTTAGACCCGAACGACTTGATCGAGGAGACAGAGGACACTGTATACAAGCTCCGGGAACTAACGAAGAGGATCAAGGAATGGGAAGTGTACACTGACGTCAACTACCTCTCTTGGTCCAGAATATTGGAAGCGCAGATTGACGAGTTAACCTGCGACTATGGTGGAGCCGTCAAACTGTACGAGGAATCCTTGGACAACGCTGAGGAGCACAATTACTTATTTGAGGCGGCTTTGGGTAACACGCTGATGGCAGGCACACTCGTCAGGCGTAAAGCTCGCAGACTGGCGCGGTCGGCTTTCAGGGATGCCATCGCCTTCTACCGACAATTTGGTGCTGTGGCTGTGGCTGAGCGCCTGGAAGAAGAGCACGCGATTCTATTACACAGTCCGACGAGAAACCCGCGGACGACGGACGCCGCTGTCCAGACTGATTTCGCTGGAGACAGCAGTGGCGTCGACTATCGTGCTGTCGATGGCGAGGAAAATCAAGATGCTTTGCAGCATGCGAATCAAACTGCCATCGCCGATATCAAAGGCGAGCGCATAGGGGCATGGCGCGGCTCGATGCATGAACACAACGAGCCTGGGGCAGGTCTGCCTGCCCTTGATATGATCGATTTGCACGCGATTCTGCTCTCGTCACAGGTCATTTCAGGAGTTCTTCGGGTCGACGAGCTGCTGAAGACCATGTGCGACGTTATCCTGCAAACTTGCGGCGGTTCAGCTACGCTTGCAGCCATTGTGGTCCAGGACTCCGATGAATCAGGTTGGTGTCTCGCGGCAAGTGGCGATCCCGAGAGAGGTGCATCGGCGCACATACCAGGGCTTCCCCTGGCGGGCACATCTCTCGTTGCGGAGAACGTCATATTGTACTGCACTCGCTTCCGCGAAGCCGTATTCATCCCGGACATCATTAGCGATGAGCGGTTTGGCAACGTGAGTGAGGCTTGGCTTCAGAGAAACGTATTGAGCAAAGCTATCATTGCTATTCCCATTTGTCATGGCTCCAAGCCGCTCCTCGGCGTCTTGTATTTGGAGGGCGAGCCGGGCTCTTTCACTGACCGCAACGTATCCGTCCTACAGTTGCTAGTCAATCAGATTGGCATTAGTTACTCCAATGCCCTGGCAATGAAGGCGGTCGAGAAGGTATCAGCAGAAAACGTTTCAATGGTTTCACTTCAGAAGCGTGCTCTCGCCAAGGCGTTGGAGGCAGAGACCAAAGCCAAGCATGCCGAGGCTGAAGCCAAGCGAAATGTCAAGCTGGCCGAAGAGGCTGCCAAGGCCAAGTCAATATTCCTGGCCAACGTTTCTCACGAGCTACGGACACCACTCAACGGCGTCATTGGCAACTCAGAACTACTCAGAGACAGCAACCTGGACAAGGACCAACAGGAGATGGCTGATTCAATAAGAGTATCGGCCGACTTGCTGTTGACGGTCATCAACGACATTCTCGACTTCTCTAGAATGGAGGCCGACAAGATGAAGCTATACGTCATTGCCTTTAATCCAGAGGAAATGGTCCGGGAGGTTGTTCGCGCCGTCTCTTACAGCAACAGGCAGAAGACGCAGCGAAGAAATGTCAAGATCATCCAGGACATCAACCTACCTTCGATGCTCATTTACGGAGACCCCATCAGACTGCATCAAGTCCTCGGCAACCTCATAGGGAACAGTCTGAAGTTCACCGAAGATGGTTCAATCACCATTGGTGCACGCGTCGATTCTGAGACTAAGGATAAAGCGACGTTGACCTTCAGGGTGCAAGACACCGGTATCGGCATTCCCCAGCAGCAACTTGCCAAACTCTTCCAGCCATTTAGCCAGGCTGACAATAGCACGGCGCGAAAGTACGGCGGTAGCGGTCTCGGCCTCAGCATCTGCAAATCTTTGATCGAAACCATGATGAAGGGCAAAATCCAGCTGGAAAGCCAAGAGAATGTAGGGACCACTGCCTGGTTCACGGTTACGTTCGACAAAGCAAAGTCAGACGTCTCTGCCGGAGACGCACAACAGATCAAATCTCCGCCACCAGTGGAGCGTTCCGCTTTACCCGTCTCAGAGAGAAGAATGACCTCTCCCAACCCTTTCCTGGATCTCACTGCCATTCCCAAAGAACAGATCAGGATATGCATTGCTGAGGACAATCCGATCAATCAGAAGATTGCCATCCAGTATGCTCAGAGACTGGGATACACCACAGTAGACGCCTTTGAGAACGGTCTGAAGGCTGTCGAAGGCTTACGGCAAAAGGCAAGAGAAGGCCAGCCGTACCACGTGGTCCTCATGGATGTACAAATGCCAGTGCTGGACGGTTACGAAGCGACAAAAATGATTCGTAAGGATTCCATCGACGTGGTGCGCAAAGTGTTGGTTATCGCCATGACAGCGTCAGCTATTCAAGGAGATCGAGAGAAATGTCTAGCGGCTGGTATGAACGATTACCTGGCAAAGCCTGTTCGGTCTGAAGTGCTAAAAAAGAAGTTGGATACCTACGTCAGCCCCCAGGCATCCGTAAGCGATAATACCGCAAATATTGGGGAATTTCGGAGTTGACCATCGCCCAGAATGCCTCTTCTCCGGACGGAGTCCGTAACCACACCACCTCGCCATCTTATTTCACGGCGGATCTCATCGGTGCTGCTACCAACTTCTCTCTGCCGATCAGGGACAATCCGGCATACAGTCGGCCAACTGGCAGCAGCACGGCACCCAGCCAAGCGTCGACAGACACCAGATCTACTATTGACATAGGCTCACTATCTGAGACTCAGTCGCAAGCAGCTTCACAGAAGCGGTCGTCCCGAAAGCTGACCAAAACGCGAAACAGCATCGACCCAGCATCGGCCGAGAAACCACGAGCTGTTCTCACCAAAAAACCTCCACAACGTCAGGGTACTGGGTCTTCGATGGATGCAGATGGCAAATCGGATAATCAAACTTTCTACCCCAACAACCGCAGTAGTATCAGCTCACTGGGGTCCGGCAGTAGGGACAAGACGTTTCCTAGCTAGAGATGCGAAGATGCCATACCCTCGCTTGCTCTTGCCCACAGGCGAGAAGCAGTCGAACATTGAAAGTCCGCCCCTGTGACAGTGAAGACGTCACATTTGGAAAGGGGGAAGGTGGGTCGTGGTCGCGCAAGTAGCGACTTGCGCCGAATGTGTCATATGTCTGGGTTCTCTAGATCAAGGAATTACTGTCTTGACAAGGTGGGAAGACATATCGGTTTTGAAGTTGTTTTTTTTTTCTCTCATGTCTGGGGCTGGGCATTTTGGGGATGGTTAGCAGCTACCCCAAGGGGCACAACACATTGCTTAACACGACTGAATCTTCGAAACCATACCCAGCGTTTTCACAATGACACGGAAATTATTCGTGTCCGTGAACATATTATGACTTGGTCAAAGAAGGATGCTGCTGATGGAATACTGTGTCAAATGCTTTGCAGACAGGCTGCGCCTACACGCCCCGTCTACGTGGTCAGCTGTGCTTCCACCGTTCTGTTTCATACAGGATATTGCAGGCGACAATGTCATGCTTGTCGTGCCTAGTCTTGTCTATTCCCTCTCGTGCAGAGTTGCCTTCCCCTGTGTATCGACAACCACCATTGAAATCAGCCCATGCACTTTTGCTAACCAGGCTGACACAAGACATGTAACTCACTGTGCTGCTGGGAACCTTTTTTTGTCATTAAATGTCTAAGACAACCACTGAAACACCACGCAACGAAAGTGACAAAGGAAAGAGCAATCTTGTCGTCAGAGTCTCACACTTGCACTGCTGGTAGCAGAAAACTGGCAAAGAGGGTGGGTGTGTGTTGCAGTCGTGGTCAGAGTCATAGTCAAGATTGGCTTCCAGGCCTCTGGGGACAAATGCGATGAGCCCACTTCTAGATCACATCTCCTGTGTAACTACCTGAAGTGATTTTGACCAGGCTGAAAATGGATATCAGGTCGCGGCGTTGGGTTTTGGTATCATCTTGGCTCGATCAACTTGGGCATAGCATCCACATGCATACAAATTCAATTCAGGTTCGTGAAACCACGCACATAAATGCCTACGTCCGTAGCCAACAACGTGACTCTGTGTGCGTTTCCATCCCCCTTTCTCTCCCTTTCTCCCCTTTCTCTCCTCGATCCAGATCACCATTTCCCGTTGCGCTCATCATATGAGGGCAGCAGTGTAGAATATCCATGTCAGGAACCCTGAACAGCTCAAATGACAGAGTGACATGATTCTAATCCATGACCCATCCCTTTATGGAGCGCGCTTTTTGAAATGATGACGATGCGCAGCTCGACCCCATCCCTTTCTCATCTATCCAAAAATCCTCCGAAAAAGAAAAAGGATGTCCCATTCCCCAGCCCCTCCGTCTCTCTTCCGAGCCCACCGGAGAAGCTCTCACCGTTCATTTTGATTATCCGAGAAATTGCGCGGCGATGAAGTGTGGCACAGCAAATAACTCCAGCACAGACAGAATAGCCGGAAAAGAAGGTGCCTTACTCGTAAGACAAGTCAACGCCCACTCCAGAAAGGAAACGGCCGGTTGCCAACCCAAGGGTGGGGGGAGGAAGATGAAGCAAACGGAATTGACCAAGAGGTAGAAGTTCTGCTTCGCCGTTGATGACGGCTCGAAGGTTGACCACCAATGCCTGTTCTTGTCTCGTCCATTTGATTTTTTGTTGACTCGGAAATTTCTTCTTTTCCCTCTTTTGCCATTGCCTGCCATTGCCGTAGGTGTGTGTGTGTTGCAAGTAGTATGCTTCGCGCTTCTCTCCTCACGTCCATCATTCCAAGTCCCGTTCTATGAAGTCCGGCAGGCGAATACTCATCATTGAGGGCTTCGTGGGACTTGGAGAATCTCCGTCCCATGTCGAAGACACATTTTGAGCACACCTAGCAAACCCCCCTCCATCAGGCAGAAAAGTCTATCCTTGCGTGTCCGCTTCCGCTCAGCTTCTCAACTGCCCTCACGTATGCAGCGGCTCACAGATCACAGGATCATCCCATGTTGGGTTGCTGAAGCTTTATTTGAGTTCAACTCCCCCTCCCCTGCCCCCCATCCGTCCATCCATCAGCCATGACCCCCTCCTCCGTCGTGTGCCATTCTTGTCTAGCACACACCCAGCAGAATCCCGCCTTCCGCCTCGGATTTACCGCCTTGTTCCCACCCATGCATGCTCAGATCTCGCTTTCAGCCGACGATCAGCAAGGCAACCTTTACCCTTGCCCTGACGTCCTTCATCTTGGATGCTCAAACTCTCGATTGAGGTTAAGATGGTTGAGAGGAGAGAGAGGGAGAGCAAGAGGAAGGCAAAGAGGGACATGCACAGAACACACAGACAGAAAGGCCAAGGAGGGGGCGGGATCTGGCGCAGATGAGGGTGTGGGGATGGCGGACCAGGAATCCCATGTGGACTGGATATGCCAAACCGTGAATCTCACTCCCCCCCCCCCCCCAAAATTGCGCCCGGCGCATGCCATTGCCAGGCTGACGGATGCTGAAATCTGACGAGAGTACCCACTTGGCTTTGGGGGCCCAAAAGCTGACGATACACCGTGGCTTTGCTTTTCCTTCTAGGCTTCTTCTCACTTCTGCCGAACGAAGGGTGGAGAGTAGCAGCAAGACACACGGCGAGAGAGACAGGGCATAGACATCCTAACTGATTACTACCATAGTACTCATCTCCCTACCGGTGGGGGCCGACTGTTGCTTCCCCGGGCTGTTTGCCTCCTCCATCGTTTTTGTCCTCCCTCCTACGAGCACCCCTCTCGTCGTCGCCGTTCGATGAGCGAATAGCGGTCGGTGCCTTGTCCTTCTTCCCTTGCGCATCTTCAAAGTTGTTGTTCCCGTCTCCGCCTTCTATCCTCGCCTCGTTCCCAGAACAGTTTCAATCTCCCCTGCTGTGGAGAGAGTACGCGACTGCTGATTCTGCCTTTCCACCCGTCTCCGATTCCACCCCCCTCTCTCCCAACCCCTTCGCCCTCTGCGAGATCTTTCACTCTCCTAGCATGCCCTTCCCCTGATCCGTTCGTTCCTCTACCTGCCTATCTATCTCCCATGGGATGTGGGTTTGGAATCGCAGTCAGCTTCAATGTACTCGTTGTAGAGTGGGTGGCAGCCCAAAGGCCAGTGGGCACGGCAAAGGTGAGCCGGCGCGACGGGAGGCAAACATTGTTTCGCCTCTGAGGGGTTAAACCTCCGACGAGCCATGGGCTTGCTCATTCTTTCGCACTGCGAGGGCAGGGATCAAGGGCGGTTACAGACGCGACAAAGCAAATAAAACAAACGCGGTCAACGTTTTTCGAAAGAACGGGGCTCCCGGCCAGTGACTTGATGCCGTTTCCGGTTCACTGGCCAGATGGTTCTAGGTTGGTTGCTGTTTTATTTTATTTTATTATTTTTTTTATTTTTTTATACACGTCTTATGTTGGAATGATTGCCCTTATCCCGCACATTGGCCGGGTGGCATCCCATATTGTCTGCTTTTGAGAAGTTGGAATCGGTCGACAACAATATACTTTGAGATGCAACGCCAAAGATCATTACCATATCGGGCGCCCATCTGGGAGGCAAAGGCCTCGTCCGGCCGGGGAACGTCCGCTTGGCAAGCGTTGAGCGGTGCTTCCGTAAATGTGAGCCCTGCTGTTGTTGTCGGTAGGGCGCTGACGCCCTGATTCTTTTCACATTGTCTTCAATTCCGGTTTTGCCTGTATCGCCGAGAACGTCTTCGGATGACATGCTGTGCCAGATGATAAGCTGTAGGGTGTGGCACGCAAGCTTTGGGCCATCAACAAGTCTGGCTGCGAACTGAGCAACGTACGCAGTACGCAATGTTCCGACTTGATGGCTGAATTGCAAAGAGAGGCACGCTCGCAAGAAACCAACCAACTAGTGCTGAGTTTGCCATGGTAGATGGGATGAAACTCAAGAAAGGAAGACTGTGGGTTTTGCAAATTGGATACCACCGAGTTGCCGTCCAGCCCGCATCTGCTAGGAACACTTGCATATCGTCTCCTTGCCCGTGCATGCGCACCCCACTTCACGACAAAATGAAGTTATGGGCGAGGCAGATCAGGCCTGGACCCGGCCTGTGGAAACTAACCGAGCTCCCCTGGCAATCCGCGAAGAGACACCGGTGGTAGCAGGGAATCACCATGACGCGCGGGACAATCTCCTCCTCCGAGGATCCGAGGCGTGGCAGAGTAGCATCCCTTGCAACCCTCATTTATTCTCGACGAAAGCCTTATGAGCATCGTCAAAGAGGCCAAACGAAGACGACGTGGTGTGTCCGGTTGTCTCGAACGGGCAGCCTGAGAGAAAGGATATGCCATGATCCCCAGCTGGCCAGAGCGCTGTCGCCAGCCTTTCCCCAGTCATGCATTGTCAACTTCCAAAAAGGAGATGAGACGAGCTGGGCGAGATGGGAGAGCGCTGCAGACCGTCGGATTGGCTTTCTCCACTTAATAAACTTGTGACAAAAGCTGGCATGTCCAACGCTCTACACTACACGTAATCAGTTGGGTTTTCTCACTCTGTGAGTCCTGGCGAAACTTCGATCCAATGACCATTGCAATCGATAAGGGATGATCCTGGTCTCACCGCACATGCAATCTTCTGGAGAGCGGGAGGGAAAAAGAAGACCAAAGCCTGGTCTCTTTCCAACCCTCCAATGTCTCGACGCAGCGTCAGCAGGTCAACAACATGTGACAAGTTTTTGTATCCGCCTGCTGCGAATGAGGATGAATTAGTTTGAGATTGGCTACAGAGCCAACGTTCGCAACGTTCGTTGCTTTCGACAACACCTCACTGCTTTTATGCGTAGCATGCCGAAATGTCGAGCATTCGAAGCCGCCATGGGGTCTGGCAGGAATCGTGAAGGCGAAACCAACGGTATGCCCAGAGATTTACGGGTACGCCTATCAGCCACCCATGCCGGCGCTGATCTCCTGTGACGGGCAGAAGCGAGCCACTGTGGCGCCCCCGTTGAAGTCATAATGGTTCGAGGATGTGACATCCAAACATGGTTAGATTAGTGTCGGTCGTGTCTCGTGAGTAGCTGACAGCCCGTTCCAGGTCTCGATATCTTTCCTGGGATGAAGGACCAAGTGTGCCGTGACGTTCGCAGATGCCAATCCAAATTCCTATCCGTCCGAATTGCCTCCGACATGTTTGCAAAAAAGACCATGGTTGCGACTTCAGCCTCAAGTTGACTTTGGGTGCAGGCAGCGCCGCAACCCAAGTTCGCTCCTATGCGAACATGATGCAATGAGGAGGCTCTGGCTTCTTGTGCGACTTTCGTAAATTCAGTGTTCGCTTCGGACGAAAGGAAGCGTACAGGTTATGACAGTGTAGTAATCTGTAGTGATGGCCGAGTTGTCGTTGATGAAGATGAGGCAGCTTCGATGAAGCTGTCGGGAAGTGAAGGCCGCGGCACGACCCACGTTGGTCGCAGAAACGTCCCCAGGCCTTCGATCGCGATTTGGAGGCAGCCAGGGGCTGTTTCATCTCACCCCAACGTCGATCTTTTGGGCAAGCTTCGCGGAGGATCGGCACAACCAGAGAGCGGACAGCACACGGCGCCCATCAGTGACAACCGCACATGGCCTAGACCACATGCAAAGCACATGCGTGCCACGTCTATTTGGCTTTGCTCGACGATCTTGTCTTGGGAAGAGCGATGATGGCTTCGGCAGGGCTGGCAAGGCTGTGGAACCGTCGTTAGGGATCCAAGTGACGCTTTTGCCCGAGGGAGGTGGAAGTCTCAGAGAGATCGCCTTGCTTGATCCCAAAACAGTGAGTGCAGCGCAGCGCGTGGGCGCACAAGGCTCCATCCACCATATCCTGCAACTGTTTCCGCCACCTCCCGATGCCAGTTTTCGACCGAGATGGATGAGTTATCTTGGGTGAATGCGCATGGCTTGTAGGGGGGCTAGCTTGAGCAGCTCTTTGTTGGGTCTGATCCCAGGCACTGGTAACGCCCGTTCAAAAGGCCGGACAGAAAAAGCAGAGAAATCGCAGGCTGGAGGAGTAGGCATTGAGCTACAGGTTGAAGACCGTCTGTCAACATGCTCAACCGTGGCGGCTCAGTTGCCTTGAGTAGGTAGCGGTACCGGTACCAAACCCTGCCATCTGCAAGGAGCTTTGACCAAACCATGGTTTCTGAAAGCTCTGCCGGACGAATAGAATAGCCTCCAGAGCGTCCGTCGAGACCAGCGAGCTTGTTGGAATGGACGCCTACGAATAGAAAGAAGTGAAGCAGCCACAATCATGCTTAAAAGACAACCTTAGGTAAGTCAGGATATGTCGTGGCGGTGGAAGGCGCGGTGACGACGTTGCCCTGTTAAGTGAAGACAAAAAGCGGACCGGGACCGCGCCAAAGCCGGAAAAGGAAAGTGGAAGAAGTCGCGGTGTGCGCTCGAGGGGTTCCCGAAATTGGACTTATCCGTAAGGCGAGTAAGGGATTTATATTCGTACTAGGTAAGTCAGGAGCGAGGACATAACACAGAGTGCGTACGTCCGTAAGGCACGCAGGTCTGTGAGTTTGATGGATCTGATCCGATGGCGGTGCTTCGTGGCGTCCGTGGAATACCTACGGAAGTAGAAACCAAATAGAAGGCAACAGGGGAAGTCCGGCCCGTTACGAACGCTGTGCGGTACGCGCTAGGCCTCAAACGGGTGTGTTGAGAAAACGTGGAGGTCCATTGCATAGGAACAACCTGGGAGGACATGGGCAAGTCGAGGCAGCTAGTTCAGTTAATTCAGGAGTCGTGTGCGCGGGACGGGTTTGATGAGGCTCGATATGGTGAAATGTCATTTTTCACTCGTGTCCCACAGGACCCTGGAAGCACGATGGCGGTGATGGGCTGGCTTGAAATGTTCATATGTCCCTTTGAGGGGGGGGGGATTGGGCCCAAAGAAAAAAAAAAAAAAAAAAAAAAAAAAGGAGCTGGCGTGAGATGGAGGAAGCTGTGAGGCGTGGGAATCGGGATGGGTGGAGTGGGGTGTGGAGCCGACACTGGAGTGTACTTTCCCTGTTTCCTCGTCACCACGTTTCAGATTTGGAGTTAAAGCAGGGACATGCCTGCCCAAGCACCCAGCGGCCGTGCTTTCCCTGGCTTTTCCAGGCGTGCCCGTCCTGTTCTTGGCTGCCAATTCCGGCGGGGTGGGTGGACAGGGGTTGGTGGTCTATAGGGTTCCAAGCAACGTCCAGTGTCGTGGTTCTGAAGAAGGAGCGGGACTTTGATAACCCCTCCCCTCCCACTCCTCCCTCGAGTGGCCCCTCCCTCTCTTGAGACTTTGATGCACGGATCTCACAACCACCCTGTGCGTAGCGACCGCCTTAGTCTGCATATGGCAAGGTGCAGATGGATAACGGAACCGCACCTGCCACAACTGCTCAGAGTAGAAAGAGCCGTCTTTGCCCATTGGCTGAAGTTCGATGGAGGCGATCTGGGATCGTCCGGGCACCATCGAATCCCAGCCTGCGAAAAGATTCACCTACCGTCCGTATTTCCTTCGCCTTGTATCACCTGGGCCGACCAAAATAACCTCCCGTGCCTACCTACATACCTACCTACCTACTTTGGTGCATCTAGGCCGTACATGCGGCACAAAGAACTTCTATCCGATGTGCCTCAGCATGTACAAATACTCCGACGACGACACTTGGTGGTTGGTGCTTGACGGTAGGACTGGCGGTTGGTGACCTCGACATTCGTTGCACCACAAAACCCGAATGCAATGACCGTCTTTCTCCGATTCCGGCAAATACGCCGTTGCTGACAACAACCGTGACCAACGAGACGCCAATGATTCGTTTCGCCAGACGCCGACTCCGATCGACAAGGCCCAGAAGTACCCAGCTGACAGCCAACGACAGCCCTCCCGGGTGACAATGAAAGTAGGAGTCGACCAGTCATCAACTGAAAGAACCAGGGGGAGCCCTCCAGTTACCCTACCGAGTGCCATCTGACAACGGCAACCCAACAACGCCTGACAGACCAGCCAGACGGCCCAAATGTCGAGACCTGCGAAGCATTTGAGTGCGACCAGCCTCGTCACACACAACATAACCCTTCTTCACCATCTAGTCATGCGTGCCATTCTTCCGGTCTGGACTCGAGCCACAAATCTCGGTTCATTACCGGACCACCCGACCAGCCGTTACCTGGCTAGGTATGAAGCGATCGTCTGCGGCAAAGGAAACTAGGACATCGTTAACCTATGGGGCTTCTTCTTCACGCACTGTCTCTTTGGTGAACCGCGCTCTAAACGCCGGCCATGGTCACTCGGTTCTCGGCGCCTTCGACAACCTTTCCTCTTTCGGTCCTGTGCCGCCTACGCGGGCTTCAACTGCCTCAATACTTGGCGCCAGCTTTCTACGTACTTGCTGTTATCCAACACACGAACGTTGGGACTGGCTGGCAGAGGCTCAGCTTTTTACATACATGCCTGACGTCGCCATGTCTCATCTTGTTCCGGTCAACCCTCAATCGACTAGCTCAACGGCAGAATGCAAATTTCAAGCTACCCGATTTGAGAAGCCGGCGCAAGTGCCACATACTGGAGAGGACTCGTTCTCATCCAAGCAAGAGACATTTTGCGACAAGCGCTGCAACGATCTGTTTCAAACGGCTTCTGGCAGCAGTCGAGGCGCTGCCACCAGCGATGATGCTCTATCTCTAGTCTCGAGGCTGGCCACAGTATGTATTTGCACAAAACCATTGTGCTTCGGTAGGCTCACTTGAGGCAGCTGTCATGGAGCATGGCTTAGGGCTGAATGACGGGCTCTTCAACGAGGGGTGTTTGATATCCGTACGGGATGCCTACCTTTCTTTGGAGACATCTGGACACCTCAGTTGCAGTCCAGGCACTTCGCATGCCATGGCTTGGCCAATACAAGTCGACCATTGGGGGTCAATCAATACGTACCGATGCAACGTTTCCAATTACAAGTCTCTACCCAGGAGCCATCTAGAATCCTTCGTGAGCGGCACGAAGTCTTTCCCTCTCGTCCCTTTCCTTCTCTGTACATTGTCCCGTCCATCTCTTCAATCAGATACCTCCGCTTGACCCAGGCTACACCCACTGCCGCGCCAGCTCCCTCACACCCACGGGGACACGACATCGAGTGCCTACCTAGTAAGCCCCTTGCTACCATCCACTCAACCACTGTGGCTGGTCCTTTCAGAGTTGGCGGCACCAAGCCCCATATCACAGCTGCTGGGAGAGGGGGAACCTATGTACCTACCGCTGTACGGAGTACAGGCTACACTGAATCTCGCAACCCTCGTCCGTGGATCGGAACGGCTCCATCTCACGGCATTGCAGAAAGCTGCACGGCCTGAGCTACCACTGCATGGCGCAAACCTGTACTCTACACGTTGAGCCCGCCCAATCCTCAACCTACCCAACTGCCATGCTTTCGCATCTTGACCAACCTTGTCGTGCCTTTTTGCCTTTCGGCGCGGCAACACCATCTACCCTGGCGGCCGTCGATCGAGGTCTGTGGGCAAGAAACGACCATACAAGCCAGCCAACGGCCTCGCTGACAATGGCTCTGCGCCTACGTATAAACCCCTTATTGACTTTCTATAGTGACGCGCTGTATACCGCGTAGTGTCCGGATAACACAGGCTGGAAAGACGAGACGGCAAGAGACAGACGAATGGTGGTGGCGAGGCAACAAACCCCGACGCCCCCCCTGCCGTCCCCTCTCCCCTCCCTCCCCTCTCCCCTCCCTCCCCTACTCAGTTTATCTTCATCCCATCTTCCAAGAAACCATTGTTCAACAACGCGCAAAACAAGAAGCAACCATGGACACGATTGTCAAAATGGCATTGGGAGAGGCATCCTCCACGAAACAGCTGCCATGTCCAATTCCAGTCACCCAATGACTGCAAGTAAGTAATCCTGCTGCAATGACAGCCTCGACCCAGCCACATCGCCAGATCTGCATGTCTCACGTTTGGCAGCGCAGTGGATTGGCACCGAATTCGTCTCCTGCTTCCGAACTCGCACCTTGATTCTGCTGGACAAGGCTGGACCACTGCAAGGATCCGAGCATGTTGGCAGTTCGGCCCCAAGACGGCTTCCTTTGTTTGAATTTCTACTCGTCAGATTGCCTTGGATGAGCTTGAATCGGCGTCAATCTAGGTCTTCTATTTGTAGGCAAACTCTGCTCGCACATACTTCTGTATGCGTATGCTTCGTCGGGCATGAGGCCAGGCCATCCCTGCTGGGCTCGGATGTTTACCTGCACCACACCAGCAACACAGAAGCACGCATGCACCGAGTCTTTCAACGAGCAAGTGAACGACCCCTCTCGACCAAGGTAGGCGGTAGCTCAGATATCCACCTCGGTAGCAAAGCAAGGCGGCTAAGCTGCCTCCCTTGGCGGCGCACAGAGAGTGCCGGCGGGTTCTGACTCTGCAATGGTCAGGCAATCATGCTGCAGGCCAAGAGGAAGCCAACGGATGGTCTTTCGAGGAAGGATGGATAGGGATCTGCCTGCTTACCTGTAGACTTGTAGTTCAGTAGAAGTAGGATCTGATATCAAGCTTGGGCTGGCCGGCATGGACACGGCAACGGAATTTGATGCTCGCCGTAAGGCAGGTCGTCCGGCATCCAAACATCAGGATTTGGCCCCCAATTAGGGTTCGAGAACCATGGGCCAAGGCTCAGGATAAGTACCCGCGGCGCGTGGCTCGTGGTCCATGGCCCGACCCCTCTCCGTCAGACCAGACCTGTACTGCCGGTGCTTCGACGATGGCGGCGTTCCGTCCTATTACCCATCTTGGGCCAGAAACAAAAGGAAGAGTAGACTGTCGGTAGGTAGAAAATCAAAAGAAAAAAGAGGGGCTCGCAGCAGGCATCCCGATGGCGCCTAGCGGCCCTTGCCACAGTTGCGGCATCCACCCCCTCTCTCCGTTGGCGTTTTGCGATGTCTCCCAGTCCCAGTGGAGGCTGCGACCGCAGCGCACCGCACCGCAGTGTTTAGGTGGGATCGGAATGGGATGAGGTGCACCTCCACCCAGAGACACTGGACACCACGACACCTATCCGTAGGTGCCTAGGTAGGGTAGGTGCGGTGCAAACTGTGTACTGCGTACATGCGCCCGTGCTCCACACCCAAGCTCGTTTTCACGCCCCCTGGTCCAGCAACCACGCACCCCCCTGTGCTCATCCCCCTCCATGTGTCATCTCTTCTGATACGCGCTGGTTGAAAATGAAATAAACCAAGGCTCAGGCTCACTGCAATTCTCCACCGTGGAAAACGGGCAACGTGCAACACAACACGGCTTGACCATATCCTGCTTCGCGGTCTCTCTCTCTCTCTCTTTCTCTCTCTCTCTGGCAGTCTGTGACTCTGACTCTTGGTGCCCGTCTGTCTGGACAGACACCAGCCTCTGTAGCTCAACCTTGAACAAACGGTTGGGCTTTTGTTTTTGTCCTCTCTCTGCGTTCCTTTTACCTCTTCTCCCGCTGGCTAGAGGTGCTCCTTTTCGTCTCTTATTCATTGGGTCCCCCGCTGTCCGGTGGCCCCTGTTTGGGCCCGGCTTGGTCAGTGAGAATGAGTCGGGCCTTGGGGTGGTTCGTCTCGTTTCCCGCGTCTCCATTCAGCATGTGCACCCCCCCCCCCCCCCCCCCCCCCTTGCCGGGGGTTCCTTGGGATAGGGAAATAACGAGAGAAATAACAACAGCAGGGGAAGAAAAAAAAACCACCAGAATCACGTCGTCCTTCCTACACGCACGCACACACGCCTCCATTATAGTGGTAGTGTACGGTACCGCGGCAGCCATGGTGGAGGACTCGCAACTGAGGTGGATGGAGGTAGGTAGCGTAGGTACTCACTCCCACCCCCTCGTCTATCCGTACGTAGCTATTCGTACCTACACCACCTTACCATACGTAGAGTACGCTCTTCCCGCTCCTGGGCCGCGGGTCCCAGAATCCCAGAAAAGAACGGTAGCCGTCCCTTCCACTCCCCCGTCTCTGGTCTCCCAGATCCCCCTCCTTGTCTCCCTGCTTGCCCCTTCCCCATACATAGTACGTATCTGTACGGTACGAACGTTCTTACATAGTACGCAGTGCTGCATCGCGCTGCAGCGCAGCACCTAGCTTCCGGTCCAGCTTCCTCTCTCAAGCTTGAGGTGAGGTCCAGTTCTCCAAACCATGTACGGTATACCTACATAGACGCCTCCGTGCCTGGACCACCGTCGAACCGTCTACGCTCCTCCCGTCCAACGTCCGGACCCCAAGGACGTCGTTTGCATCCTCGTCAATGAGCTTCAGGAGAAGGACTCGACTCTGGCGGCAAGGCGTCCATCCTAAAGATCGAGTGCCATTTCTGGCCGGGGCTGGCCCTGTTCTTCATGGTACCTGGTTCCATTCTCAACCCCATCTTCAGCTCCTCGATTTCGACCTCTCTATAACGACCTAAAGAGTCTTGGTCTTGTGCTCCCTCTGCCCCTCTACTCTCCTCTATCCTACCCTCTTCTACATAGATAGTACTTGCTCTACAGACTATTCCCTTCCTCTGTCTCGACCTCTGCAAGCCACTCCTTTTCCACAAATTTTGCCCAACCCGATGTGACTGACTGACAGCAGGCCGAGTCCGGCTAGCTCACCGTATCAACCTCGTGCCCAGGTCCAGGCCTAGAACTAGACCCAGACCCAAATGCTGGTGTTGGATCTGCCTTACAGCTACCCGTACATCGACCGGCATTTAAATCACAGTCTCCATGACCAAATGAGGCTGGGCCCGTTCGTGGAGAGGTTTCATCACAGCACGCCCCGCTCGTTTCTATCAACACGACTGACTCTCTGCCTCTCTCGAGGTGAAGACTTGCCTTGCTTGCTTCTTTCTTCCTTAGCTCCGTCGTTGCCGCCTTCCCTTCCCTCCCCTGCCCGCCCTGCCCTGCCCTTCCCTGCCCTTCCCTTCCCTGCCGCTGCCGCTGCCGCTAGACTCCTTCTCTTCAAGACTCAAGACTCAAGATCGCAGGCCTAGAGGCCTAGGTAGAAGACCCAAGAGGCTGTAGAGACCCTGCTTGGAGCTGGAAGTAGCTAAGCTAAGCTCAGCTAGCTACTTGGACCTAAGGTAGTTGCCTACCTCAGCTAAAACGGACGGTGGCCACATCACCTCGCAATTACCTAGGTAGGTACCGTCCTCCGGACGTACATGTCTCTTTGAGGCACCCGACGCTAGTACATCTGAGGTACCTTCACCTTGCCTCCGTTCGCTGCTACGACGCTCCTGTACGCTCACACCTCAGCGTACCGTTACCGTCCCATTCCTTAGCCCACCTCACTTTCCCATCCTGGGTCGCCCTCCAGCTTGCACCTGTAAAAAGGTTATTTCCACCACCTGCACCCCCATATCTCGATTTATCTTCCTTACCTACCTCACCTCACCTACCTCACCTCCTTCTTCTACCTTCAGAAATCTCTCTTCCTTCCATCCGTCTGTCTGGCCAGCCAGTGACAGCAACTTTTTTGTTTACTTCTCGACCTTCATTACCTGTCCCCTTTGTCTCTTTTTTTCTTTCCCTTGGCTGGCAAACACCACAAAATCACCAACGACGTCAACAACCCAACCACCTTGCTCCTCCACTATCAACATTGGCCTTCCCATGTTGCCGGCATTTCTCTTCAACAGCTCATAGTCACCCCGGACGAATGAGTATTACATGACCATGCTCACTGTTAAGCAGCCAACTCACTACGGCTACAAGTCCGTCCATGACC